TTGTGTTAGTAATACCAATATGTAATTTATCATTTAATTAATGTCAACACCAGAGAATTAAAATTCTACAGTTTTACAGAATGATGTCATATATGTTAAAACTTGAACCAGACTTTCACGACAAGTCAAATATTATTAATGACAGACAGTGAGCATGAGGACAGATTTAATCCATTTGAATGATTAAGATTTATAAAATATTTGCTTAAAATAACATCAGGAATCTTAATTATCGAAATATATAGAAAACATCATCTTTTGATTTGAAATAATGTTTCTATTGTGTTGGGTATGAATAACTTTCAATAGATATTCTGTGAACATTATGCATGATAGTCAAAATATTTTTGTATATCCTGCACACATATGTCATCCATTGTATTGTGAAACTGGGGGTACAGAAGTATTCCTTAGAAACTGGAAGTTCTAGCTTTGAATTTCACCAATTTTTGTGGTTTTGTACCAGTCATTTAGGGATAATAGTCTGGACAGTGTATAGTAACATGTATAACGTTGTATGCTGATCTGTGGATTCTGAACAGAGTATCTAAGAACATCAATTATGAAATAAATTAATTTCCATTGATATGTTTAAAAATTCACTTGCATGAATCCTATTAATGAATCTAATATTATGATGTATCAATATTTTTGGGATTATTTTGCGTTGTTTGTGGTATATATCACCAGTATTGTTACATTCAGTAGAATCACTTAATTCCTGGAATAACAAAATGCCATTTGAATACTTTGTCATGTCAAAAGTAGAAAAAATCATTTAATCCACCAAGTGATGGAAAATGACACTGATTTAATTGTGTTTAATGTTAAAGCCTATGAATGAAATTTATTCTTGTTTTGTTTACTAAGAGGTGCCAACAATAATATACTTACCCAAAGTCTACCACTGTCTTTAGGTAAAGATAAGATCGAAAAATGTTAAAACATTTTAAAAAATGAAACTAGTTTTTGCTGTAATCTTTTGAATGAAAGTCATTGTTTAAATGTTTATTTCACCAACTCACCTGATTTTGTCAGATAAACCTGATATTTGCCTTTCTTGACCTGCTCAGGTCATGAAAAAAAAGCCAGAATCATGTGGTATTTCTTTGGTTTTGATCTGTATTTAAAAATTTCAGATTAATTTTTAGGCCTTAGCATCATTGATGAGTCCTAGGAGGATGAATTCTGTATAAGACTTGTGTGTTATTCATTTGAGTATATTTTGTATAATCTTTAGATATTAGATTATATTGTCAAAATAAGGTTCACACATAACATAGAGCATTATCTCAATACCGTACCTGTTAACAGATATGATAACTATAAAATAGAATTTATTATAAAGTCTTTTTGCCTGATGACACTTTAAAACACCCTTTCATCTTTGATTTTGAGGGTCAGGACCAATCATTATTTAAAAAGAGGTTGGCAGCACTGTTAATACATTGTGATTGATTTGTAGCCCGGTAATGGATCTCAAGTAGATTCATCGCAAACATACAACACGAAGAAAAAACTTTAAAATGGTCAAGTTAGCAAGTTTACTGGGATGATATTTAGTAGTAATCAAAATATGATGAAACAAATTAGGATAGAAAAATATTTGTAATTGAATGTGATCCAAAGCTAACAATGTTTGTATCAATGTTTACATGTTTCATCCTTTTAGCACACTGGTTCATTTTTGTGAAAGGACTCGGGAATGTTATACTGAAGCTCCAGTAAATAAATTAGACTATTATCAGCCTACAAATTGAGTTGGATCTCAGCCTTGAAATTGGCATTATCTTGTCTTTAATGGATAAAGGTATGTAGATTTCAGAAGCTGTTGGCTTACTGAGATCTTTGTATCAATCTATCTGATGTTTTATTTAATCTTCTCTTTAAACTTACTCGGCACAATTTCTGTATAGGCTGTGATATGATTATACAGCTGTATTGTTGGTATAACTATCAATATCACTGAGAGCTTGAGTTTGATATAGTAATTCAGAGCTCTATGAAATTTGTCTAAATTTTCAAACTTAAATATATGTAGGCTTGCTTTATTTTTTTATCTCTGACTCAACAAAGTTCATATTCATATGGGATCATATGTCCATCCTTCCGTCTGTCCATCCATCCGTCTGTCCCGATGCCGCTTTCCGCATGATATCTTTTGAAAGACTGGTCGGATTGTGATGAAACTTGGTTGGTACACTTGTTACCTTAATCCCTTGGCCATGTTTGATTAACGATGAATTCCGCGCATATTTAATGAGGAAGTTGTGACATGATTGGCTGATTTCTTTAATCTTTCTTTGAGAAATCTTTCTGTACATTATCTTATGAAAGAATGATAAGATTTTTAGGAATTTTGATTTGTAGACATATTACTTTAATTCCATGTTCAGGTTTGATTATCGGCAAATTCTATGCATATTTTATTAGACTGCTGTGACCTGATTGGCTGATATCTTTCGGCACTCTGACTGAATTCTTTCCACACATTATTGTTTGAAGGAACAAATGAATTATGATGAAACTTGGTAGACTTGTTACCTTAACACCTTGTTCAAGTTTGATTATTGGCAAAAGTTTTCCTTGTTGCTTATTCTAAATGTATATATTTTACAAAAGATCATTGGCGGGGGATCTTGATGACTATGTCCTTGTATTAGGTATTATTATTTCAAATTTTATCATCAAGCTTAAAGCTAATTTAGAATACTGTGTATATTTCACAAAGTAGTATTTTGTCAGTTAGTTTTAATATGTTTGTATCACTTTTTTAAATTCTGTTTTAGAACTTTTGATACTATAAAATAATTTAGGGATAGGATCTGATCACTTGGATTGATCTACAATTCCTAAGTGAACGTGGTCGATGAACCAAAAGTGGGAATTACCTTTAAGGAACAATAGATCTGATTCTTCTTGTCCTTTTTCAAATGCTTACGATAAACCAAGGTATCCTATTGTAAAACCTCCTTTGTATTCACCTTCTGTGATCGGTTCTGGTGAACGTAGATTTTAACCAGTGGAAATAAATGATAAAGGGAAATAGTTGAGACAAGCGACATGTTATTTAAGTAAAGTGGTTACAGCTATAGGGTGCCCAATTCTGCTGTTACCTGATCTGTTAGACTTGACAACAGGATATTAACCACACAGACGTTTGTTCAAATAAACGTCTATTTCCATAATTAGAAAATAGCTGTCACATCCTCATCAATCAATATTAATTTTTTAGCAAAATAAGTGATTTTAGCAGAATGTTTATTGAGACGACCTTTAGAAATCTAGAGGTGTTATTACATAAATTGTCTGTGTATATCAAAATATTGATCCTTATTCATAACAGATTTTGTCTGTATATCAAAATATTGATCCTAATTCATAACAGATTTTGTCTGTGTATATCAAAATATTGATCCTAATTCATAACACATTTTGTCTGTATATCAAAATATTGATCCTAATTCATAACAGATTTTGTCTGTATATCAAAAAATTGATCCTAATTCATAACAGATTTTGTCTGTATATCAAAATATTGATCCTAACAGATTTTGTCTGTATTCATAACAGATTTTGTCTGTATATCAAAATATTGATCCTGATCCTATCAAAATATTGATATATCAAAATATTGATCCTTATTCATAACAGATTTTGTCTGTATATCAAAACATTGATCCTTATTCATAACAGATTTTGTCTGTATATCAAAATATTGATCCTAATTCATAACAGATTTTGTCTGTATATCAAAATATTGATCCTTATTCATAACAGATTTTGTCTGTATATCAAAATATTGATCCTTATTCATAACAGATTTTGTCTGTATATCAAAATATTGATCATGATTCATAACAGATTTTGTCTGCGTATATCAAAATATTGATTCTAATTCATAACACATTTTGTCTGTATATCAAAATATTGATCCTAATTCATAACAGATTTTGTCTGTATATCAAAATATTGATCCTAATTCATAACAGATTTTGTCTGTATATCAAAATATTGATCCTAATTCATAACAGATTTTGTCTGTATATCAAAATATTGATCCTGATTCATAACAGATTTTGTCTGTATATCAAAATATTGATCCTGATTCATAACAGATTTTGTCTGTATATCAAAATATTGATCCTGATTCATAACAGATTTTGTCTGTGTATCAAAATGTTCATCATATGTTTATATCTGATTGATGCTAATGTCAATATAATCAATAAGGGACACATTATTTGTTAACTTAAAGAAAACTTCCTACTGATACCTGATGTATGGACCCTACTATAAATAGATTTCTTTAATTCACTAAGAAATGTTGTATAACTCCTGGTAAACTTACATTGTCCTGAACTGCTACAACTACTAGTAAACATACGTTGTCCTGGACTGCTACAACTCCTGGTAAACATACATTGTCCTGAACTGCTACAACTCCGGGTAAACATACATTGTCCTGGACTGCTACAACTCATGGTAAACATACATTGTCCTGAACTGCTACAACTCCTGGTAAACATACATTGTCCTGGACTGCTACAACTCATGGTAAACATACATTGTCCTGGACTGCTACAACTCCTGGTAAACATACGTTGTCCTGGACTGCAATATGATATTGTAGTCCATAATACAAAAGTACTTATTGTAAGTACAGTTGTAATGACAGAACAACCTTTCAATTTTAACTCAACGAATTAGTGAAATTTAATAGCTGTTCTTTTTTCTTTTTTTTTTCCGTTTTTTGTCGTCAGTAAAAATAGGATATATCTATTTCTGTGTTAATCCAAAATTTTAAGTCATGATTTAAAAGCTGAAATCATATCAGTCCTGGCCAAAATCTGTATCAGAACAAACAATAAATACAGAATAAATGTTTAATGTACCAGTTACTATTAGATTCATGAAATCTGAGTGAATCTCACAATTGTATGTATACATAGACAAATTGCTTTTTAAAAGTGTTTACACTGACATTCTGTCTGTTTCAGTGTTGTGAAATACAAGTGTGGATGTTACCAGGGCACGGCTTTTATACACAGCATAATTATTAAACGTGTATGAAATGTCCAGACTCGTTCCTATGAGAGTGTAAGGACCACCATTGCATGGAAACGGTAAGAAATCTAAAAACTTTGTAGTATGTCTTAATCCATGTTTTTAGCTCTTAATTTATAAACATTTTGTTGTATTTTCCATCCTGGAATATTCTTACATGTGATCCTTACGGATGGAAAAATGTTCCGTTATATAACGAGAAATCATAAATTTGGTGGAAACTTTATCATCTCTTCAGTGACATTTGCGTAAGAACATTTTTCCTGTGATTATGAAACAATTTCAGTTTTGACCAATCAGAATGGTGCTTTCAATTAATTGTAATAAAATTCACAGATATTTGGAGAGAAATTAAGTGTATGTCGTATGAGCAGATTTTTCATCAAATCCTTGTGTAGGCTTCAAGTTTTTTTTAGATTCAGGTTTAATACCAGTTTCATATATGATTTTTAGCGGAGAACAGTTTAAAGCAGTAGAATACTACATCAAGTGATCAGTCTAAACTGGTGTTGTCTTGGCTGTTCTCATCAAAGAATAGTGCGGTTAGTTTCTCCCATTTTACCATAGATTTGTGTCATGCTTTAATGATTTTACCCACATTTTTCAAAATTCTTTTCTTTCAGAAATTTCATTAATAGTAAATGTATTGATCCCCAATGAATGTGAAATCTTTAACTCACATGACACAGTGTATCAATATTCTGTCACTCTCATCAGAAACATTTAATGGGAAACCATGGCTTCAGGAAATATGAATGACATTGTAATTCTTATCAGCCAATGCAAAAAACCAGCAAAAGTACCTAAATGTCAAATAAAAATAGTATTGATTGCGGCATATTTAGAACAGCTAGCATTTCTTAGAGAGGCTAGAGGCAGCAAGAGACACAGAGATTGTGGACAGAGATCCTCCTCACACAGCAGTAATGTCAGTCCTGGTAACTTGTTTGTAGCTGGAGGGACAGGTTCAAAGTGTTCATTAAGTCCACTATCTAGTTGGTCTCTGCATTGATGACATTATGGTCTGTGGTGATAAATCCCCATTATGATGACCTGTTCCATGGTGATGACCTGTTCCACAGTGATGACATTCTCCATGGTGATGATCTTTTCCATGGTGATGACATTCTCCATGGTGGTGACATTTTCCATGGTGGCATTCTCCATGGTGGTGACATTCTCCATGGTGATGACCTTTTCCATGGTGATGACATTCTCCATGGTGGTGACATTCTCCATGGTGATGACCTTTTCCATGGTGGTGACATTCTCCATGGTGGTGACATTCTCCATGGTGGTGACATTCTCCATGGTGATGACCTCTTCCATGGTGATGACATTCTCTATGGTGATGACCTGTGCCATGGTGATGACCTGTACCATGGTGATGACATTCTCCATGGTGATGACCTGTTCCATGGTGATGACATTCTCAATGGTGATGACATTCTCCATGGTGTTGACATTTGCTATGGTGATGACCTGTTCCATGGTGATGACATTCTCAATGGTGATGACATTCTCCATGGTGGTGACATTTGCTATGGTGATGACCTGTGCCATGGTGATGACATTTTCCATGGTGATGACATTCTTCATATTGATGACCTGTGCCATGGTGATGACATTCTCCATGGTGATGACATTCTCCATGTTGATGACCTGTTCTACAATGATGACATTCACTATGGTGATGACATTCTCCATGGAGATGACATTATCTACAATGGCCATGTTTGATCATGGTGGTGATGATTTAAATGACTGTGATATTACACATTGGTGAAATGTTCAGTGGTGTTGACATTCCTGTTCTTTGTTCTGTATGTGATAATGTTCCCTGAGTTGGTGACATTTCTGTAGTGGTGTTTTTCTGTGCAGTTGTGGTGTTGTTTATTTTTCTGTGTTTAATTTTAAGTTTTGTTGTCATGTACAGACTGACATGTTTTACATCAGTTTTGTTAGTTAAATAGAAAATTTGTTTATAACTATTTGTGTTGGTTTACTTGACACTGTTTTGACATGAGTTGAATAAACAGAAGCTGATAGATTTTAAGGCTGTTGATTCAGTGTATTATGTCATTTGATAGTTTACATGAGTCTTAATATTACTAAATATACATTCAAAAACTGGCACGGTTAATAAGAAATACACATAATTGGCATTCTTCTAAATTTGCCATATACAGTCTAACCTGTCATAATAGCCACCTTAGTTTGACAGCCACCTGCTTAACGGCCACCTGTCTAACGCGGCCAGCAACCACCCTTTTCATCCCCAAACTCGCGATTGAACCTCGTTTAAACAGCCATTTTGACCACAAATCATTTGACAAGCTTTCTTGACTGCGAGTCACGTTTTCTCGCCACGTGAACATTCCTACAAAGAAAACAGCTGATGGCACGTGAACACAATTCACCATGCATTTTATATTGAGTTTAATTTCATTTACATCACTGGTATACACAATACAGGCATATTATCACTATGGTGGCAAATCACTTCGAAATGTGAGCAGCAAATGAAAAACTTTAAATCTTAAAGATAGGGCTCCGTATCGGCACTTGATATGTATCGAAAACCGGTATTTTATGTTCAATAGATATATTGGATCGACAGTTTCTGTATCGAACAAAATATCAATCATTAAGAAAGAATAAATGCACTGTTGAAAAATACCACATTTAGTCGAGTGTTTTCGCTTCGTAAAATCAACATTTCACTGGAATAGAGAGCGGCTATCCGTGATCTGAGGTCATGAATATTAATGAGGAGTAGAGTAAAACCCAGAAACATTCCAGACAACAGGTAACTAGGATGAGAAATTTTATAAAGAAATTTTAATGGATAGAAAGCAAAAAACAATGCAGTGGTTCGTTTTCGAAGGTTGTAAGAACAATAAATACTCCAATACTGGAGCGCTTCCGCTCCACCGCCATTTTTCGTGCGACGTTATTATAAAGTTCCTGCCCACTCTAGATACTAGTCTTTACTTGATGTCGTTGAGACATGGCATCGAGTGTTTGATTGAAAACGCATGCAGATTAAGAATGAATAATTTATGTTTACGTTTTCTTGGTCGTAAATGTAATATATTCAGGGGCAGGTACACACCCCCCCTTTCTAGATTTTGATGTTTTTGGATTTTGGATTTTCCTCGGTCACCTCCTAGGTTCAAACTTTATGTCCTAGAAGGACAAACAGCTGTATGATAAAGTTTTATTCATTGTTTGGCTCTATTGTGTCTATTTCTGAATTAAGGTCCCTAGCATCACTGACGAGTCCTAGAAGGACAAACAGCTGTATGATGTAGCATCACTGACGAGTACTAGAAGGACGAAACAGCTGTATGATGTAGCATCACTGACGAGTCCTAGAAGGACAAACAGCTGTATGATGTAGCATCACTGACAAGTCCTAGAAGGACAAACAGCTGTATGATGTATCATCACTGACGAGTCCTAGAAGGACGGAACAGCTGTATGATGTATCATCACTGACGAGTCCTAGAAGGACGAAACAGCTGTATGATGTATCATCACTGACGAGTCCTAGAAGGACGGAACAGCTGTATGATGTATCACCACTGACGAGTCCTAGAAGGACGAAACAGCTGTATGATATAGCATCACTGACAAGTCCTAGAAGGACAAACAGCTGTATGATGTAGCATCACTGACAAGTCCTAGAAGAACGAAACAGCTGTATGATGTAGCCTCACTGACGAGTCCAAGAAGGACATAACAGCTGTATGATGTATCATCACTGACGAGTCCTAGAAGGAACAGCTGTATGATGTATCATCACTGACGAGTCCTAGAAGGACAAACAGCTGTATGATGTAGCATCACTGTCGAGTCCTAGAAGGACAAACAGCTGTATGATATAGCATCACTGACAAGTCCTAGAAGGACAAACAGCTGTATAATGTAGCATCACTGACGAGTCCTAGGAGGACTAAACAGCTGTATGATATAGCATCACTGACGAGTCCTAGGAGGACTAAACAGCTGTATGATACAGTTCAATTCATTGTTTGGCTCTACTGTATCTATTTCTTCATTTAGGCTATTAGCATCATAATCCCATTCTAGAAGGAAAAATGTCTTATGCCTCATAAAAAAGTCTGATGCCTCGTATGAAAGTTTTATGCCTCTTACAAAAGCTTGATACCTTGTACAAAAGCCTTTTGCCTTGTACAAAAGCCTTATGCCTCGTAAAAAAGCCTTATGCCTCGTACAAAAGCCTTATGCCTTGTACAAAAGCGTTATGCCTTGTACAAGAGCAGTACCTTAAAAGTCTAGTTATCATGTACACTAAATTCAGATTTGGTTGATATATCTGTCTTATCTATAAAATTTAACAAACACTTAGATTGAAGAATATAATTCATTTATATAGACAGTTCATTATTGGCATTTTAATGTAAGTGGAAGTTTGTGGAAGTATAATGTGGCTTGGTATAGAAATTAAGTATTATAATACAATACCTATCTTATCTGTGACAGCTGGAGTGTTGTAATTTGGTCTGGTATGAACATCACATCTGTGACAGTTGGAGTGTTATAATTTGGTCTGGTATGAACATCACATCTGTGACAGTTGGAGTGTTATAATTTGGCCTGGTATGAACATCACATCTGTGAGAGCTGGAGTGTTGTAATTTGGCCTGGTATGAACATCACATCTGTGAGAGCTGGAGTGTTATAATTTGGCCTGGTATGAACATCACATCTGTGACAGCTGGAGTGTTGTAATTTGGTCTGGTATGAACATCACATCTGTGACAGCTGGAGTGTTGTAATTTGGCCTGGTATGAACATCACATCTGTGACAGCTGGGGTGTTGTAATTTGGTCTGGTATGAACATCACATCTGTGAGAGCTGGAGTGTTATAATTTGGCCTGGTATGAACATCACATCTGTGACAGCTGGGATGTTGTAATTTGGTCTGGTATGAACTTCACATCTGTGACAGCTGGAGTGTTGTAATTTGGCCTGGTATGAACATCACATCTGTGACAGCTGGAGTGTTATAATTTGGCCTGGTATGAACAT